GGGGCCAAAACCCCAAAAAATACCATTAAATTATTGTAGGGAAGCACCAGAAATCCCCCTCCCTGCTGTGTACACACTGTAATCTGGAGGGGGCCAAAACCCCAAAAAATCCCATTAAATTATTGTAGGGAAGCACCAGAAATCCCCCTCCCTGCTGTGTACACACTGTAATCTGGAGGGGGCCAAAACCCCAAAAAATCCCATTAAATTATTGTAGGGAAGCACCAGAAATCCCCCTCCCTGCTGTGTACACCCTGTAATCTAGATGGGGCAAAAAAATCCCAAAATTCCATGAAATTAGTATAGGAAAACACCAGAAATCCCCCTCCCCTGCTACATACACCGTGTAATCTGGATGGGGCAAAAACCCCAAGAAATACCATTAAATTATTGTAGGAAAGCGCCAGATATCCATCTCCTCTCCCCCCCCCCAACAAAAAAAATCCCACAAAATTCTATGGGAAAACACCAGAAATCCCCCTCCCCTGCTGTGTACACCCTGTAATCTGAATGGGGCAAAAAGCCCCCAAAAATTCCTTGAAATTGTTACAGGAAAGCACCAGAAATCCATCACCCCCTCAAAAAAAAACCCACACAGAACTGCTATGGAAAAACACCAGAAATATCCCTGCCCTAAAAAAAAAAAAAAAAAAAAAATATCCATCCCCCCTTGCAAAAAACACCCACATCCATTCAAGGACCAGAACTTGCTGTAAAGCCATGAGAAATTTGGATCTGAGCCCCTGGAACTCGGAGCTGTCCAAAACACCCCCAGGGAGCAGCAGAGCCACCAGGGCTGGTGACAAACCCGGGGGTGGCTCTGTCTGTGCTTCCAGCCTCCTGCGGGGCGCCTCAGGAGGGTGGGAGGTGACAAACGATGTTTTGGAAACTCCTGGAAGCACAGGAGATGTTTTGGAGATGAACAAAGCAAGCCTGGAGAGATTTTGTGCCCAAGCACAGAATCAAAGCCAGGAAAAACCTCCAAGCTCATCAAGCCCAACCTTTAATCACCAATTTATCAACCAGATCCCCAAATCCCCAGCGCCACGGCCCTGGGCCTGCCGTCCAGCGGGATTTTGTGCCCAAGCACAGACTCAAAGCTGGGAAAAACCTCCAAGCTCGCCAAGCCCAACCTTTAATCACCAATTTATCAACCAGATCCCCAACGCCACGGCCCTGGCAGGTCCCTCCTGTGGCGTTCACATTCTTTGAACATGATCTCTTCGCCCTGGGTTTCTCTCCTGGGAAGCTGAAAGGCAGCGGGAGAGGCCTCAGAGAAAAGAAAAGCAATTCCTGTCTCGTTTGCTTCTCCTGCTCTCAGGTTCCACATTCAGGGACCTCCCCGATGTCGCTATAGGACACGCTGCTCTTCTCAAGGTAAAAAGGGGGAGTTTATTTTCTGACTCCAACATTTCTAGATTTCCAAAGGTGGCAGTGGATTGGAGGGTGACAGTGCCACCTCTCCAATGACACTGGACAGACCAGCAGCCCATCAAATTTCTCCTCCTCCATAAAAGAACGCAAAACAATTAATTATTTACAGAAAGTGTGTGGGAGAGTTTGCTACAAGAATGTAAACATCAGAAGGCTTAGAAAACCTTAAAAAATCAGGGCGACATCCTTCAGCTGTGAAACTTCCTCCCCAAACTCCCCATCTTCCCCAACACTCGTTCTAGCATGCTTTTATATTTGGTAATACTTTGTAATAGTTTTGGTTTTGTATCCCCTTATTTTCCCCAAATGGTTTACTCCTTTTTGTACCCCCTTCCTCTACCTGTGTAACCATTCTCCTGGGTTGAGATCATCCCCAAATCCCCGCCCTGGCTCTCTGTCAGTCACTCACCATCCCATCCCCTCTGTCTAGAGCTTTCAGTCCAAGTCGTCGAGTGATTAGTCCGCGGCCAGGGCTCAGCCCCTAAATGTTATTTTATGCTCTATCCCAAATGTCCATTCCCTAAGGTTTCATCCCTTCCGGGCCTTTATTGGTCAGCAAACGCATCTACCTTCAGTTTCCTCCCCGCCTTTAAACCTAACCTTGAGATTCCTTTTGCTTTACTCTGAGAAGGCGCCCACTGAGACGTGGAGCTCTGAATAAACCTTGGGCTGGCCCCTGCTGAGAGTCACCTTTTGTCCTCTGCCGATGTCTCCAGTGTCTCTTTGGATGCAAAGGCGACTAGCCCAGCTGCCATCGGTTCCCTCGGGACACCAGAGAGTGTCCCCTGCCATCGGGGCACCAGAGAGTGTCCCCCACTCTCAGGGCACCAGAGTGTCCCCCCGCTGTCTGCCAGCCCGGGGCTGCCCGTGGTTCCTGAGAGGCTCCCAGAGAGACAGACACAAACACCCACTTGCCTTTGGCCGCCACCGAGATGCCCATGGCGGCCTCGCGGAGCGAGCTGCGCTTCCTCCAGCGCCCCTCGTCCGTGTTGTACATCTCCACCACCTTCAGCGGCAGCTGGTCGGCGCCCACGCCGCCGATCACCATATTCCCTTCCCTGGACTCGCTCCAGCCCCAAAATGTTCCTCCTGAACTGAGGGAAAATCCCAGAGTGCAATCCCCACCCTGCCAGGAGCAGAGCAGGACCAGAGCTGCCCTCCCACTGCCACCTGTCCCCTGTGTCACCCCCAGAGCACCCCTGCCACTCCCATCTGTCCCCTGTGCCACCCCCACCCCCGGAGCAGTCCCGTCACTGCCTCCTGTCCCCTGTGTCACCCCCAGAGCGCCACTGTCGCCTGTCCCCTGTGCCACCCCCGGAGCAGCCCTGTCACTGTCGCCTGTCCCCTGTGTCACCGCCACCCCCCGAGCAGCCCTGTCACTGTCGCCTGTCCCCTGTGTCACCGCCACCCCCCCGCGCAGCACCGCCACCTTTCAGCGCCTCTCCATCAATCCTGCGGCTCCAGAGCCGCCTCAGCAGCTCACGCAGAGACCGAGCCTAAAAATAAAACAAAACAAAAAGAGGTGGGAAAACAAAAACCCAAAAAACAAAACAAAACAAAACAAAAAAAACAACAGGCGAGAAGGTTGGAGCCAGTTCGTTCTGCTGCTTCCCGAGCTTCCCCGCCCCCAGGTGACTTCAGACCAGGCTCTGCTCCGTCCACGCCTGTTTTCCTGCCGGCTGGGGAACTTCTCCTTCTCTGAGCCACCGGATTCCTCCTCCTGACATTCCTCACATCCCCACCCTGAGGAACGTGAACCCCCGGCTCCAATCCCGGGGCAGAGGGCTGGGAACGCGCGGTCTTTGCCCCATCTCCTCTCTCCTTTATTAAGCGCGATGCAGATGAGCTTAATTAGCCCGGGAGGACGGAGAGAGGGCGAAGGGAGAGGGACAAAAGCAACTCTGGGAGGGAAATCCCTTCCCATCCTTCCCACCCAACTCCGAGCTTCCACAAAATCCGACTAGTCCGAGCAGAGCTGTATGTTTTTATTATTATTTATCTTCCCACATAAATGTTCAGGAGCGCACAAAACATCATTTATGGCATGAGGAATTAATAAATAAGCTGAGAAATCCTGCTTGGGCTGCCACCCTCCAGCAGCAGGAAGTGCAGTGGGCCCATCCGCAATTCCCGGGGCAATTCCAGGAAATTCCCGGCTCCAGGGGGGCCGCAGACAAAGGAACACAAAGGCACGATAAAAAGCAGCAGCAGCAGCACATGGAGCCACGCTTGCCAGCCTCCCGGAATCCAAGGAAAAAGGAGCGAGCAGCAGCTCGGAGCAGCCCCGGGATTTGTTCCCTGGCAGCTCCGGGGTTCGGCTCCCTCGGATGATTGATTTCCTTTCCAGGTGAATTTTCATGGACAAATTCAGCCTGGGTTGGTTCATTAGCAAAGCAGAGCCAGCTCCACTTTCCAGGAGCTCGATGGATTTGCGTCCAGGCATTCCTGACCTCTGTTCCTTCAAATCCAAAGTGCTGGGATGAGACACAACCAGCGCCACTCCAGTGCCTGCCAGCAGCAGAACCTGGCTGGGGCCGGGCAATTTCTCCGTCCAAAGCTCAGGAATAATTGCCTAAAATGGCCTAAAAATTCCTTTTCGACATCCCAGCACGCAGAGGGCGCTTGGAGAGGGATGAGGATTTCTCCGGGCAGGTCTTCCATGGGAATAAAGAAGCAAAGAGCCGGGAATTCTGCTGGAATGCAAAGCCCTGCCTGAGTTCAGCTGCCTTGGCACACAAAGATTCTGCTCCTCTTTCCTGCCGTGCTATTTAAAGGAAATCAAGGTCAAGCTCACACGCTGAATTCCTGAATTCCACGCCTTCGCCTCCGGCTCTCCAAAAATCACCTGGATTTCACCGGGAAGCGACACCAGCGCCGTGCTGGGAGCTGGCAGCTTCCTGCGGCCACATTCCCCTCCCAGGCCCGGGGAATTATCGCTTCATCCTCCCAGACTGATTGGCATTGGAAATCCAAAGGAAGGGAAATTGCTTTTTCCCCGGCGGAGCTGGGGCCGAGCCCTCTCCGCTCCTTATCTCTGCAGGACGAAATTCCTTGGTTTAAGGATGGAAAGGATGAAATTCCTTGGTTTAAGGATGGAAAGGATGAAATTCCTTGGTTTAAGGATGGAAAGGATGAAATTCCTTGGTTTAAGGATGGAAAGGATGAAATTCCTTGGTTTAAGAAACCCTCCAGAGTATTTTCCAAGTGGATTTGGAGCGTGGATGGGCAGGGGCAGCCCCGCGGCACCCCCGGAGAGGGGTCAGGGCTCCAGGGGACAGCGGGACCTCTCCCTGGATATTCCCTCCAAGGAAAAGCCATCCCTGATTTTGGAGACCCCCTGGATTCGTGGCTTTTATGGATCTGCAATAATTTGGGATTTATCAGAGCCAGGCAGGCGGGATTCCAAGGGATCCATGGGATGAACGGGGGGAGATGTCAGAGCAGCTCCTTCCCCTTCCCATCTCTTTTCTCTCCAGGATTTGGAAGTTTTGCTGCTCCAGGGTCGAAATTCCAAAGGCTGGAACTCAAATCTCCTCCCATGTGGGAACGGGACAGAGCCAGGATGATCCTCAGAGCCCCAAAATTCCCACCTGCCACCGCCCCCGTGCCACCAGGAGCGGGACAAACACACCCAGCCCCCACTCAGCGGGCAGAGAAATCCACCGGGGAAACTTCGGGAAAAAGGTTCTTCCTCTCCCCCGTGTCCCGAGGGAAAGGGGGCTGGGAACAGCCGGGTTCTGGTGCCTTTGCTCCAACCCCGGCAGCTGGGAATGAAAGGAGCAGGCTTGGAATTGTCAGCCGGGGATTCCTGACCTCCCCGCCTCGGCTCCCTCGCCATAGTAACAACCAGCCGGAAAATCACAACAACAACAACAAAACCTCATCGGTTCCCCGCCTCTGCCTGGAAAAAAAAACCGGCAAAAAGAGCGAAAACCATTGGGATTAGAAGGGATTTCGTTGTGCCGAGCAGAGCAGCGCTCCGAGCAGCTCGTTCGGTACCCCCCCGATCCCGAGCATCCTTTGGGATGCAGGAGGGGCTGAGGTCGGCCTGGCCTCCCCCAGCTTCACCCCTTCCCCCAGCCCGGCCCCTCGGGGTCCTCTCCAGCCTCCTCCTGCCAGCTGCGATCTCCTGGTGGGAGGGAGAGGGGTTCTGGAAGGAAATATTCCCCAGCAGGAGCACGTCAGGGGTGTCACGGCTCCGGCACAGGGACAAAAGCTGCTCCGTTTATTGAAAGAGCCCAAATCGGCCTTTTTTAAAAATCCTGAGTGGGCCGAAAAATCAGCAGAGCAAGGTGAGGCTTGCTCATGTCACTGTTGAGGTCAGGAGTTTTAATTTAATTTAAATAATTTAATTTAATTTAATTCAAGAGCAAGAACCCACCTGCAAGAGCAAAGGGTCTCCCTCCCCGCTCCCACCAGGACCCTGAATCCCCCTCCTCATTCCCAAAAGCTCCCTCTGCCCCAGCAGTGCTCTCCTGCACGAGTCCAACACAGAAAGGCTTTCCCAAGCCCTGCAGCCTCTCAGGTTGTGTTTCCAGAGCTCCTTTTCCTCTTTATTTCTGCTGCAGAGGGAATGGGAAGAGCCCCAGGCCGGATCACAGCTGGGAGAGGTCACAGCAACCCCATCCCTGCCGGGCCTGGTCCGGGAGAAAGGCTGGGAAATGGGACTGGGGATGCTGGGAGGAGAAAAGCTGAAAATATGGAATTTTGGGGGGAAAAAAGTATGGGAAAAACCCAATCGTTTTCCACAAAAAGTAAGGGGGGAAAAAAAATCATCTTTCCCCACCCAATTTTTGGAGGGGAAACACAAACTCCAAGCTTTGTTCGTGGCTGTTCCTGAAAAGCCTGGGAGGACACGGGGTCCCAAAGCATCCCCCCCAGTGACCTCCAGAGAGGAATTCCCTCCCTCCCTCCTTCCTTTCCCGGGATTTCTCGGGAATACTCACAGCTCCGGTGGAGCATGGCTGGAAATGCTCCGGATTTTCCCAAATCCTCCGAGCATCCCCTTCCTCCCACTCCCTGCTGGGCTGCCGGGAGCAGCCGGGGTTGGGAATTGCTGCGTGGGAAGAGGGGGAAAAAAATAAAATAAAATAAATCCGCGTAAATCCAGCGGCGCTGCTGTTCCCCCTCTGGAAGATGTAGGACACTCAGGGCGGGGAGGGTTTCCCCAGCTGGGCTCCTCCTCGGGGCTGTGCGTGCGAATTCCCGGCGTTCCCGATCCATCCCTGAGCCTTTTATGGCTCCCCACGCTCGCACAGGATGTTCTGGAACGGCGGCGCTAGCCCCGCTCCCCGCCCTAAAGCGGCACCGGCAGAATTCCCGGGGGATTTTGGCAAAAATCGGGAAAGCCGGAGCTGGGAGGAGGCAGAGGTGTCTGGGATGGGAGGGGTGGATCCCAGGGATCCGCCAGGGAAGAGCCCATCCCGGGGATGTCACCCCAAAATGGGGCAAACGGGCACGGCAAGGGCGGCTGGGGCGGCAGAACCCCAAAATTCTGCTCCTGCATCCCACAAGGAGCTCGGAGGAGCAGGATGCTGGAGCCAATTCCCAAAATTCTGCTCCTGCATCCCACAAGGAGCTCGGAGGAGCGGGATGCTGGAGCCAATTCCCAAAATTCTGCTCCTGCATCCCACAAGGAGCTCGGAGGAGCGGGATGCTGGAGCCCTTGGAGCGGATTCCCAAAATTCTTCTCCCACAGAGCTCGGAGGAGCGGGATGTTGGCGCCCTTGGAGCGGATTCCCAAAATTCTTCTCCCACAAGGAGCTTGGAGGAAAGGGGTGTGGGAGCCTTTGGGGCCAATTCCCAAAATTTTCCTCCCACATCCCACAAGGAGCTCAGAGGAGCAGGATGGTGGAGCCTATGGAGCTGATTCCCAAAATTCTGCTCCTGAATCCCACAAGGAGCTCAGAGGAGCAGGGTGTTGGAGCCTTTGCAGCCGATTCCCAAAATTCTGCTCCCACATCCCACAGGGAGCTTGGAGGAGCAGGATATTGGAGCCTTTGGAGCTGACTCCCAAAATTTCTTTCCCTGCATCCCACAAGCAGGATG